TTCTCTGTCAGTTTTCTCACTCCATTTGGTGCTTGGCTGAGTTCTTTATCTCTTCATTTGATGTTTTAGGGTTTCAGGATTGTTGTATTCTCTGTTCGGCTTAGTTTTTTGAATCTTTGCTGTGGAGGGACGGCGTGGTGCTTCTGCCTAGAACGCCATTTTGCCAGAACCTCCAGAATGTGCCTCATTTTTTAGAGTCAGGCAGAATCTAAGTTTGAATACCATCTTTTTCATTTAACTGACTTTGGCAACTTATTAGCCTCAGGTTTATTTGTGTATATAATGGGGCAATTATTTGTGTATATAATGGAAGCAATAATTAGTATAGTGAGCTTATGAAAATATCTTGGTGGGGTAGGGCGCAGTCGGAGAAAAAAAGTATTACACATGCATTATTTGCGTAAAAATACAATCATTGTGAGGCTTCAATGGGCTTATATATAAAGCCCTGGACATGTAATGGGCATTCCATTTTGAATCCTTTCTGCTTTCTACCCCTTCCTGAGCTGGGTTAGATGTGTGAGAGGTCACTCCAAATCCCAGACCCCGTGACTAAGTCAGCCCTCTCTTACATGCTCTCATTGCAGCTCATTCTTCGTCAGAGCATGTGTTTCAATTACAATTACCCATGTCATGGATTTGTTTAACATCTTTCTTCCCACCAGACTATAAACTCCATGAGGGCAAGGACCTGCCTATCTTGTTCACTGTTTTGTCCCCACTTCCTGTCACTCTGCTTGGTTCATAAAAACCAAACCTTTTGCCATTGAGTCGATTCAGACTCATGGTGACCCTGTGTGTGTCACATCAGGACTGGTGCCACAGAGTTTTCAGTGGCTAATTTTTCAGAAGGAGATCACCAGGCCTTTCTTCTGAGGTGCCTCTGGGTAGACTCAAACCTCCAACTTGTTGATTAGCAACATTAACTGTTTGCATCATCCAGGGATCAGACCTCAGTAAAGAGTTATTGAATGAATGGCTACACTGATTGTGAAGCATCCTGTGAGCTGCTGTTCTGCTTTCTTCTGGGCTGCTCATGACAGCTGCCAATAGTGTTGGGCCCTTCCATGGTCTCTTTTTATGAGGGGTCTCCATGAAGGAGGAGGAAACAGCCTTCTCACTGAGCAGCCCCTCTCTCTCTTTCGTTGAAGAGCTGTTCCTGTCCTTTCAGTTGAAATGTCATAGACAATCACATCCTTCTGATAGAAGAAATGATTAGATGTCCAGCTGGCTTAATAAAGCCTATTTAACTCAGAGTGCTGTAACACATGTTATGGATTGAATTTTGTCCCCCTAAAATGTGTGTCAACTTGGCTAGGCCATGATTCCCAGTATTGTGTGGTTGTCTACCATTTTGTGATCTGATGTGATCCTCCTGTGTGTTGTAAATCCTAACATCTATGATGTAAATGAGGCAGGATTAGAGGCAGTTATGCTAATGAGGCAGGACTCAATCTACAGAATTAGGTTGTCTCTTGAGTGAGTCTCTTTTGAGATATAAAAGAGATAAGCAAGCAGAGAGGAGAAGGACCTCATGCCACCAAGAAAGAAGCGCTGGGACCAGAGTGAAGCCTCTGGACCCAGGATCCCTGTGCTGAGAAATTCCTAGGCCAGTGGGCAATTGACGACAAGACCCTTACACCAGAACTGACAAAGGAAGCCTTCCCTTGGAGCGGGCACCCTGAATTTGGACTTCTAGCCTCCTAAACTGTGAAAGAACAAATTTCTGTTTGTTAAAGGCTTCCACTTGTGGTATTTCTGTTATAGCAGCACTAGATAACTAAGACACAGCACTATTAGATTTCTAATGATTTCCAGTTGCTGAATTTCTCACGATTTGTTTGCAGTATTGTGAATTACCGATTGTTTTGAAACTATTGCCATTTTGATTTCAGTTCTTGTATGGATAGTTGAACTTTAAGACTGTGCTATTTGCCTATCCCTCTGATTTCCCTTGAGATATTTTTCTTTTCTTTTTTTCTTTTTAGATTCTGAAATACGTGGAGTGCTTCACTGGACCCAATATTATGGCCATGCATACAATGCTGTTAAACAAGCTTCCAGATACTGGTAAAGGGCTCTTATTTATTAGGGAGAGACAGGAGAAACCTGTTTAATTAGAGTGTGTAAGGTTGGTGTTCTAACACAGCTGTAAGTGTATCTGTCAAACTTTGGATAAGTGAGTATATGTATTTTTTTGTAAGTCAGAATAGCTTACGTGTTAACAATGCTGAAGAGTAACAGTGATTTCAGATGTTATCTGTAGGGCTATTGATAAATGTTCAGGCAATTGGCTTCTCAAAAAATGCAGTATAAACATTATTGTCCATATATTATAACCAGTAACCAACAGCCGTCAAGTTGATTTCAACTTGTGGTAAACTTACGTATTTCAGAGCAGAACTGTGCTCCATATAGAGTTCTCAGTGGCTGATTTTTGGAAGCAGATCACCAGGCCTTTCTTCTGAGGTGCCTCTGGGTGGACTTGAACCTCCAACCTTTCAATTAGCAGCCGAATGCACTAACCATTGGCACCACCCATGGACTCCTCATATATCATTAGCTCCTGTTATTCAACATTTCTAAGACTTATTAACCATTCTTACCCATGATAGTGTGAATTTTTCATTCCTGACTTGAAGGGTATTACTATTACTTACAAAATTAAACCTATTATTAAAACCACATACTATAGCGGTTCATAAAGTTTCATGCGCTTAGGAAAATGCAGACTTTTTAAAAAATTTTTTTTAATTGTGCTTTAAGTGAAAGTTTATAGTTCAAGTCAGTTTCTCATACAAAATTTATGCACACATTGCTATGTGACCCTAGCTGCTCTTCCTATAATGTGACAGCACACTCCTCCTTTCCATCCTAGATTTCCAGTGTCCATTCAACCAGCCCCTGTCCCTTTTTGCCTTCTCATCTCACCTCTGGACAGGAGCTGCCCATTTAGTCTCATGTATCTACTTGAGCTAAGAAGCATTCTGTTCACGACTATCATTTTATGTCCCATAGTCTGGTCTAATCTTTGTCTGAAGAGTTGGCTTCGGGAATGGTTTCAGTTCTGGGCTAATGGAAAGTCTGGGGGCCATGTGTTCTGGGGTCCCTCCAGTCTCAGTTAAACCATTAAGTCTTGTTTTTTTTCCTAGAATTTGAGTTCTGCACCCCACTTTTCTCCTGCTCTGTCAGGGACTTTCTGTTGTATTCCCTGTCAGGCCGGTCATTGGGAAAAATGCAGACTTTTAGCCTCATTCTCAGAGAGATTGATTCAGAAGTTATAGCCCAGGAAATTGCATTTAAATAAGCACCCTGAGAGATTCTAGTGCATGTGGCTCTTGGACCACATTTTGATAAATTCTGCTATACTAACAGCAATGAATCAGCCATTACAAAAAAAAAAAAAAAAAAAACTCGTTGCCGTTGAGTTGATTCCAACTCATAGTGACCCTATGGGACAGAGTAGAACTACACCATTGAGTTTCCAAGGAGTGGCTGGTGGATTTGAACTGCCTGCCTTTTGGTTAGCAGCAAGCTCTTAACCACTGCGCCACCAGGGCTCCAAATCAGCCATTATAGAGTCCTTTATCTTTTTGTACTTTTTCTTCACCCTCATGGCTGGGAGAGGTTTATGTGATAGGCCTGTGGCTCAGCATTACCAAGTCTCCCCCTCCCTGGGTGGCTTCCCTGGACAGAGCAGGTGGCCCCCAGAACCAGGTTCAGAGAAGAAAATCAGGGGAAAATGTAACCGTGGTCATAGTGGCTCTATGCAGTGGTTGTACACAGGATGCCTGTAGTTCTGTGGAAAAAACCTCTTGGCAGCTTTTTTGGTGTGTGTGCCTCAGCCACTTAGAAGCCTGTTAACCAGTACCAGTTGCTGTAGAGTAGATTCTGACTCATGGTGACCCTGTGTGTGTCAGAGTAGAACTATGCTCCATAGGGTTTTCCATGGCTGATTTTTCAGAAGTAAATCACCAGGCCTTTCTTCCAAGTCACCTCCAACATTTCAGTTAGCAGCCAAGCACATAACCATTTGCAACACCCAGGCACCCTAGAAGGCAATTGTTTTGTGCCATTGAGTCGATTCCAATTCATAATGACCCTATAGGACAAACCCTATAGGAAGCCCATAGGGTTTCCTAGGCTGTAGTCTTTACAGGAGCAGATCGCTAGGTCTTTTCACCCTAACAGCTACTAGTAGGTATATTTAAACTGCCATTGTTTCCCTTAGAGCCCAGCACTTTAACCATTGTGCCACCAGGGCTACTTAGAAGGCTATTAAACCAAAAATCCCATTGCCACGAGTCGAATTCTGACTCATAACGACCCTAAAGGGCAGAGTAGAACTACCGTATAGGGTTTCCAAGGCTGTCAAATCTTTACTAAAGCAGACTGCCATATCCTTCTCCTGCGAAGCGGCTGGTGGGTTCTAACTACTGACCTTTGGGTTAGCAGCCAAGTGCTTAACCACTGCACCACCAGGTCTTCTTAGAAGCCTATTTTTTAAAAAAAAAACAAACCACCAAACCCGTTGCCATCCAGTCGATTCTGACTCACAGTGTCACTATAAGACAGAGCAGAACTTCCCCGTAGGGTTTCCAAGGAGCGCCTCGTGGATTCCAGCTGCAGACCTTTTGGTTAGCAGCCTAACTTCTAACCACTACGCCACCAGGGCACCTCTAGAAGGCTGTTAGGGAACCTCAAATTTGACTCTATACTGCACTCTTCAATCTAATTAAACTCTTTTGATACCGACTGCGTGCCAGGCACTGTGCTAAACGCTGAGTTACAAAGGGACAAAGGGCAACAGTGGTGATGACATCTTATACAGCTTGCTGCAAAATAGTGCGCGTAAGTGCTCAGCTGACCAGTAACCCAGAAGAAAGTTTAGGATTTGGAGCTGCCTTGTTGATTTGATTTTCCAGTTTAGAGCGTATCTATTGAGGCTGATTTTCTATAGTGTTGTTTCATTTGTTTGGTTTTTGCAGGGGTACGTTGTAATGGTTTTTCAGGCAGAGGATAAGAATTCTGAGATTCGAGTTTTATTTTATTTTTTATTGTGGTAAAATATATGCAACATAAAATTTGCCATTTTAACCATTTTCAAATGTACAATTCAGTGGCATTATAATCACAATGTTGTGCTCCATCACCCCTATTTGTTTCCAAAACTTTTTCATCACCCCAAACAGAAACTCAGTACTACTTAAGTAATAACTCCCCATTCTCCTTTCCCCCCAGTCCCTGGTAACCACTAGTATACTTGTTGTATCTCTATGCATTTGTCTATTCTAGATATTTCATACAAGTGGGATCATACAGTATTTGTCCTTTGTGTCTGGCTTATTTCACTCAGCATTTGTTTTCAAGGTTCACCCATGTTGTAGCATGTATCAAAATTTCATTTTCCTTATGGCTGAGTAGTTTTCCATTGCATGTATATACGAGGTCTCCGGCGTAAATAGTTTGCTCTCGGCTACTAACCGAAAGGTTGGTTGTTTGAACCCACTCAGGGGTGCTGGGGAAGAAAGGCCAGGAGATCTGCTTCCGTAAAGATTACAGCCAAGAAAACCCTATGGAACACTACTGTGTAACACATGGGGTCGCCATGAGTCAGAATTGACTCGACGGCAATGGGTTTAGTTTGGGGTTTTTGGTATGTATATGCCATATTTTATTCCTTGAGCTTCTTTTAATACCAGTCTCCATTTCAGGAAATAAGACTTCCCGCCATCCCCTACACCAGGACCTGCACTATTTCCCCTTCCGGCCCAGCAATACCATTGTGTGTGCTTGGACGGCTATGGAGCACATTGATCGGAATAATGGCTGTCTGGTTGTGCTCCCAGGCACACACAAGGGCCCCCTGAAGCAGCACGACTACCCTCAGTGGGAGGTAGGTCTGCTAGTGGCTGAGTCCTGATCAGAATCTCTTTTACTGTTTTTGTTCCACGTCTATATACATAAGGAACTTTACACATGAGATGGAACTTTACACGTGAGATGGCATTTCTTGTCTTAGGAAAACAATGTCCCGTGATTTGGAATTAGGATCGGAGAAAGCTAAAAGATGTCAGATGAAATAATCATTTTTTTTTTTCTTATTGTACTTCAGGTGAAGGCTTACAGAACAAATAGTTTCTCATGAAACAGTAGTACACATGTTGTTTTATGACATTGGTTAAAACCCCACAACATATTAACCGTCTAACTTCTCAACCTTTTTTTTGGTGAAAATACATTTGGCCAAAGATACACCATTTCAAAAATTTCTACATGCACAGTTCAGTGACATTGACTACACTCTTCCAATTGTGTGGTTATTCTCACTTAAGATGAAGGCTTACAGAACAAAATAGTTTCTCATTTAACAGTTACTACAGATGTTGCCCTATGACAATAATCATTATTTTTGATCCTTCAACAAGTGTTTAGAAACCAACCAGTGTGGGAAACTTTGGCAGGTGTTGCATAAGATTTGAGATTGTAAAGTCTAATAGCAGAACCAGGGCATAAACATTTCATAGCAGGTGTGTGGGCTAAGTGCCAAGTCAGTTTTATATGCTAGTGGCTCTTGGAGTAAAGAGAAGGGCAGGATCCCCTCCTAGCTGGAGAGCACAGTGAAGGCTTTGTGGAGGCTGGAATTTAAGCCGAGCCTTGAAGGACAGAGTAGAACGTCCTGTGGTACAGAGGCTGTAGGGAGGGGGCCTTGAGGTCAAGGGTGAGCACGAGCCTGTGTAAGGAGCAGGACGGACCAGGAGCTCCCAGTCCACATGGGCTGGGGCAGGGGCTCCTTTGAAGG